AAGTAGCTTAAGAGCCCACCCAACACCTAAGTGTAAAGGTCTAGCAACAACAATCAAGTAGCAACCAAACAAGCCTAAGCTCTAATGCATACTTCAAGTCATCAATCAATTAGCATGAATGTGTCAAACACAAAAACTAATGTCCTCTAAGGGTCATTCTCAAATGGTTCTACCCTAAGGCATTACAAACCATGTCAAAAGCAATCAACAATCACACAAGCACTCAAGGAAAAAAGTGCCAAAGCAACATCAATGCTTAACAAGCAAAGGTAAAAGGACTTAGGTAATATGGAAGCCTCTATAAGTCAGAAAGCGCATCATTTATATCATGAAGACATACAACAAAGTTTAAGAATCAAGGTTACAACCTAAGCATTCTCATAATCATCAATTTACCTCAACAAAGGCAAGACGTGCAAGCAAACAGTTACATCATTAACAAGCATTGTGTACAAAGAATCCAAGAGTTAAAAAAACTCAACCTAAACATGTTATCCACACAAATATTAATATTCAAAGGTATCTACCTAATCATCAAAGGAAAAAGCATTTTCAAACACCAAGTCCACATACCAAAAGGTAGAACATAAACATGTTTCAAATTTCAACTTCTAAAGTGCATACTTAAACAAATTCATAACATGGTATCTACACATGTCAGAAGAAGAAACATCAAGGCTAAAGGTGTAAACATATCCTAAAGATCAAGGCTAAGGGTCATGCTTCATGGTTTTAAACCTACACTAAGCATTTTCAACAAGTTTAAGAAGAAACATGCTTTCAAGTTTTAAGCTACACATGATAAACATCCTAACTAGACAGTATCATACTAACAAGTATTCATATTAAACAAATATCATAAGAAATATAATCATCAAGGTAAATTAGGCACCAGAATTAGGTCAAAGGCATCCAACTATCAACCTATGAACCAAACACTATGATTCACTTAGCATATGACTGAAAATAAACCTAAACATCAAGGAAAAATTCATCCAAACATGTTAACATCTTAATAAAGAAGTTACTTCAACACTTATCAAAGCATGGAAAACTATACAAGAGAAGTAAGCCCCTAACTAGGTTAGCAAGTTAACAAACTATGCATTATTTTATAACTACAAAATAATTACCAAATCAAGACCTAAAGAGATCTAAAATTCATGAGATTAATACATCAAGCATGTCATAGTATCCACTATGGTGCCAAGAAAGATCTCCTAAGCTATTGCACAAGTGAACACAAAAACATTACCTACTTCGAGGTACGACTTTAGATGCTCAAACATTGCCTACTTCGAGGTAGGACTTTAGATGCTCAAACATTGCCTACTTCGAGGTAGGAATTTAGATGCTCAAACATTGCATACTTCAAGGTAGGACTTCAAGTAAAAAATTGCCTATTTCAAGGTAGGACTTTAAGTTAAAAGTTGCCTACTTCAAGGTAGGACTTTAAGTCAAAATTTGCCTACTTCAAGGTAGGACATCCAATCAAACATTTCCTACTTCGAAGAATGAATTCAAATGCTACTACGCTATATGCTTCTAGCAATCAATAAAAGCCTAACATGATACGTGAAAGATTTATAAAATAGATTCAAGCGGTACCTAACAGAGAAGGTCCATTGCATGTTTAAAGCTACACGGGCGATAAGAAAACTCTAACGAGAACCTCCTTGAATTTCCTTGATGAAGGTTACGTTCTTAATTTGATTTGAGACCTCTTGAACTTCATCAACCAAGATCATCACGCAATTGTACCAACACGTATCATGGATCGAACACTACTATCATACACAAGTGCCATCAAGATGCCTCAAATAAAGAGCCAAATATTAGCATAATAATCGATCGTATAACTAATTTATAAAATTCCAAAGTAATTCCTATTGTTTTTCATGTATTATTTCATCACCAGAGAATTCACCAAAATTAATGACAATAAAAATTAATAGGAAACAATTAAATTTATAGACAGAGGGGGTACTAATATGAAACTAGCGTAGTCAGGAAAAGGGCGATAGGCCCATCAGATTGAGCCCAGGGATTGTTTTTTCTAACAATAGCTTCCAGAAAAAATCTCAACGGGCTCAGGGAAAGGGTGGAATCGGTCTACATCCAACAACAACACATGGCCCAGTTTTTATTTGTTTCTTTGAATCTTAACAAAAAAAATAATAGAGAAAGGGATTATAAAGTGACATTAGGGTTTATGTGGCTTTTCAACTTCTATGTATAAATATCTCAATCTTTCTCATTCACCCTCTCCACTGAGCGACGGTGTTCACCCTTCTTCTTCCAATTCGACTCGGCACCGATGAAACAACACCATCCGCCTATGCCTCTCCATCTCTTTTATTTGATGATGGTGAACGCATAAATATTGCATGAATTTGTAAAACACAAATTCTAATGTCCTCTAAGGGTCATGCTCAAGTGGTTCTACCCTAAGACATTACAAACCATGTCAAAAGCAACCAACAATCACACAAGCACTCAAGGAAAAAAGTGTCAAAGCAACATCAATGCTTAACAAGCAAAGGTAAAATGACTTAGGCAATATGGAAGCCTCTAAAAGTCAGAAAGCACATCATTTATATCATGAAGACATATGACAAAGTTTAAGCATCACGGTTACAACCTAAGCATGCTCCTAATCATCAATTTACCTCAACAAAGGCAAGACATGTAAGCAAACTGTTACATCATTAACAAGCATTATGTACAAAGAATCCAAGAGTTAAAAAACTCATCATAAACATGTTATTCACACAAATATTAAGACTCAAAGGTATCTACCTAATCATCAAAGGAGAAATCATTTTCAAACACCAAGTCCACATACCAAAAGGTAGAACAGAAACATGTTTCAAATTTCAACTTCTAAAGTACATACTTAAACCAATTCACAACATGGTATCTACACATGTCAGAAGAAGATACATCAAGGAAAAAGGTGTAAACATATCCTAAAGATCAAGACTAAGGGTCATGCTTCATGGTTTTAAACCTACAATAAGCATTTTCAACAAGTACAAGAAGAAACATGCTTTCAAGTATCATAATGTAATCAAAGCTTAGCATGCGAGTAAGTTTTAAGCTACACATGATAAACATCCTAACTTGGCAGTAGCATATTCACAAATATTCATATTAAACAAATATCACAAGAAATATAATCATCAAGGCAAATTAGGCACCCAAATTAGGTCAAAAGTATCCAACTATCAACATATGAACCAAATACTATGATTCACTTAGCATATGACTGAAAATAAACCTAAACATCAAGGAAAATGTAACCCAAACATGTTAACATCTTAACAAAGAAGTTACTTCAACCCTTATCATAGCATTGAAAATTATACAAGACAAGTAAGCCCCTAATTAGGTTAGCAAGTTAACAAACTATGCATTATTTTTGTAACTACAAAAGGATTACCAAATCAAGACCTAAAGAGATCTAAAATTCATGAGATTAATATATCAAGCATGTCATAGTATCCACTATGGTGCCAAAAAATATCTTCTAAGCTATTGCACAAGTGCACACAAAAACATTGCCTACTTCGAGCTAGGACTTTAGATGCTCAAATATTGCCTACTTCGAGGTAGGACTTTAGATGCTCAAACATTTCCTACTTCGAGGTAGGACTTTAAGTCAAAAATTTCCTACTTCGAGGTAGGACTTTAAGTCAAAAATTGCCTACTTCAAGGTAGGACTTCAGATGCAACTATGATATATGCTTCTAGAAATCAATAAAAGCCTAGCATGATGCGTGAAAGAGTTATAAAAGGGATTCAAGTTGTACCTAATAGAGAAGGTTTGTTGAATGTTTAAAGCCACACAAGCGATAAGAAAACTCTATCGAGAACCTCCTTGAATTTCCTTGATGAAGATTACGTTCTTAATTTACTTCGAGACCTCTTGAACTTCTTCAACCAAGATGATCTCGCAATCGTGCCAACACGTATCATGGATCGAGCACTACTATCATATACAAGTGGCATCAAGATACCTCAAATAAAGATAAAAAAATTAACATAATAATCGATCGTAAAATACATTTAACTAATTTCCAAAATTTCAACATAATTCCTATTGTTTTTCATGTATCATTTCACCACCAGAGAATTCACCAAAATTAATGACAATAAAAATTAATAGGAAACAATTAAACTTATAGAGAGAAGGGTACTAATATGAAACTAGCGTAGTCAGGAAAAGGGCCCTGGGCCCATCAGATTGAGCCCAGAGATTATTTTTTTGTAACAATAACTTCCAAAAAAATTCTAACGGGCTCAGGGAAAGGGTGGACTCGGGCCACATCCAACAACAACACATGGCCCAGTTTTTATTTGTTTCTCTGAATCTTAACAAAAAAATAATAATCGAGAAAGGGATGATAAAGTGACATTAGGGTTTAAGTGGCTTTTCAACTTCTATGTATAAAGATCTCAATCTTTCTCGTTCACCCTCTCCACGGCGCGACGGTGTTCACCCTTCTTCTTCCGATTCGACTCGGCACCGACGAAACAACACCACCCGCCTATGCCTTTCCATCTCTTTTATCTGATGATGGTGAACGCAGAAGTATTGTAGAAGATTGAAGAAAAATTCTGATGAAAAGTTGTGATTCAGAGAGAAAGATGAAGGTTGTTAATGGAGAAAAAAAGAATGGATGATGAAGACTAGTGAAGTCGAGAGAGAATTTCTTGTGATATTTATTACTGCATGTCGGTTTTGCGGTTCGGATCTCAGCTGGTTTTGATTCAGCTTTAGAAATGGCACGACCCGGTTTTGTGCAGCTTAGATCAATGCTTCGATTCAGCCCCAGGATTTGTTTTTTTTTTTTCCTTGTGGTTTTCTGAAACAGATCTGGCCATGATTTAGTGTTTGATTACAAGGATTGATCTTGAATGAAAAGCAAAGTGAAGCTTGATAAATATTGAGGAGTCTTTAAGACAACATGAAGAGTATTTAGTGTTAAGTTAAAATGTCATTGGCTTGTAACCTTATGTTTTTGTAATAACTTGTGTGGCAACAACGTGTACTTGAACTTTTGATTTGTAGTTTGTACTATTGTACAAAACTTGTAAAACAAATTTTCATCAATGAAGCTTTTTTCCTCTTGCATTGACTTGTATCCAAAGTCTTCACATTTCTCTTTGAATTGAATACAAATTTCTCTCTGTTTCATTTTGGATTTACAATCACCCCATCCGTAAGAGAGAAGAGACAGTCATTGGAATACCTTATTGAAAAATTCCTACTAGGGCCAGGATTCCAAACCCAAACATCCTGTTGGTTTGATTTTACCACCCCCTCAACAAGTTCAACCAGAACCTCCAGGAGGTCAACCTCCCAAAAAAGCATATTTCACCTCCAACTAAAATTTCATTTCTAGACACTCCCCTCTCGAGTCCCTATCCTATCCATCATTTGAAGTTTCTGCTCCGAGCTCAGAGATAAGGAACAACCTTTCAAACAACACACACAACAACATATCTTCACTTCCACACATCATGCTAACATCGGGTTTGCATACATTCTCCACCACCTTTGAGAGGCAAATCAATCTCATATTAACATGATATTTACCAAGGTCTCATATTAACATTATGTTTCATCAAATCATTCCCATATATGTATATAACAAAAATGTGATTAATAAAAAGTAAGACTAGAAAAATCAACAACACTCATCATATACAGTATGCTTAGAAGGGATTGAAAATCATCATATCAAGGTACATTACATATTACACTCCTTTCTCTATACTTATTGTTGTTTTTGGATTTTGAAATATTTACCACCTACCAGGTTGAGTCGTGGACTAGGTCACTCTCTTTAAGACGTTTCACGACACTGCTCAAAATTATGCAAAGCAGTCGAACTACTGCGCCGCCTCCAGGATAAACAATCTAGTTCAATATTGTATAATTAATACTTGCATGGTAGATAGTCGGTCTAGAAATACACAATTTGATGTTTCATGACCATTCAAATATGGTATCAATATCACTCGTAGTATTTGGTACAAAGACTAGTCGAAATAATTTCTCAAACAAAGAGAAATTCAAATAATTCTCCAAAGAGAATTTAATAATGGTCATTTGACCACTCATAATAATTTCTCCAACAAAGAGAAATTCAAATAATTCTCAAAAGAGAATCCAAAAAATTAATACTTGAAAAATTTTCAACTCAAATAAGGAGAAATTAACATAATTCTCTAAAGAGAATTCAAGAAAATACTCGGAAAATTCAACGAGTAGGAAGAAAGGGGAAAAAGATGGCGCTTCGACAATTCGAGAGATACAGAATTATGAGAGTGATGAAGGAAAAACTAATAGAATAGTTTTTGGTATAATTTGGAATGAAACATGTGCACTCCTTATATAGTGAGTAAACTAGTTAATATTTCTCACATGAGCAATGTGGGACTAAATGGTTTTTTCAATCAAAAAAAAATTCTAACAATGTGGGACTTGAGAAATTTTTAAATTCAACATATTGGAACATGGACATGTTCCAACAATCCCCCACTTGAATTTAAAAAAATAATTTTATAAGTAACGTCAAACGTTTCTAAGATTGTGCATGAACAAAGGTGTCTACGACTTGAACCTTTGCATAACAAGTAGAATTCTAATTCAACAAGAGTGACACAAATGTCTTGAACTCTATCTCAGACATCAAACCCGCACACAACCTTTTCTTAAGGTGTATTCTAATAGCCCATGCTTTAATGGCCCTGCACGTGTATCCCGGTTTAGTGAAGGCTCTAGGAATTCTGCATCACAATTCCATAGGAACCGACCCAAGTTCCACAATCACAAAAGTGAGTCTATCAAGAGTACTCCTGTAGCCTTGGTACTCCCTCATATAGAGTATAGATCTCATTAATAGCTTTTATCATCTTATCCTCTTATTACTTCAGGATTCATGCTTTACTTGCATGATCATCTCATATTACTCACAACTTGTTATTACCCATTGAACCTATTTCTTGAGATCTCCAGTCATTTAGGTCGGGTTACCATCATGAGCAACTCATTTTTCTATAGGCATTATCCCATCTTATATGATGTATTATAGACTTTCTCTCTAGCTAATCTTTTCGTCAAAGGATCTTCTAAATTTTCATCAGTGCGTACATGATCCACTCTTACACCTCCTTTAGAGATACAATCTCTAACAGTGTTGTACTTTCGTCTAATTTGATGTCTTTTACCATTATAATAATGATTCTCGATTTTTGCAATAGCCGCGATACTATCGCGGTGGATTAACACAGCTGGCATAGGTTTTTCCCATAAAGGGATCTCAGCTAGCAAGCATCTCAACCAACTTGCTTCTTCAATAGTTGTGGCTAGTGCTATCATCTCAGATTTCATTGTGGACTGAGCTAGGATAGTTTGTTTCTTTGCTTTCCAAGATACAACTCCTCTAGCTATACTAAATATATAGCCACTAGTAGCTTTAGAATCACCTGACAAAGTATTCCAATCTGCATCACTGTACCCTTCTAGTACAGCGGGAAACTTCTAATAATGTAGGCCGAGATCCACGGTCCTTTTGAGTTACCTCATGACTCTTTCAATAGCTTGTCAGTGCTCTTTACTCTGTCTACTCGTAAACCTACATAACAATCATATGACATATGAAATGTCAGGTCTAGTACAATCAATGACATACCTAAGAATGCCAATGCTGCTCTCATATTCTGATTGTCTGACACTTTCTCCAGTGTTCTTAAATAGTTTCAAACTTGGATCATATGGTGTGCATGCAAGTTTACAGTCAAAGTATTTATATTTCTTTAAGATCTTCTCCACATAGTGTGATTGATCCAAAGAAATTCCTTGTTCAGATCTCGTGATCTTGATACCAAGAATCACACTCGCTTCTCCGAGGTCTTTCATATCAAAGTTGTTGCACAACGATGATTTCATATCATTAATGGTCTGAATGTTTGATCCAAATATGAGTAGATCGTCTACATAGAGACATATGATAGTGCATATGCGATTGTCAGATTTATAGTAAACACATTTGTCACTTTCATTCAATTTGTACCCATTTGATATCATTAAGTTATCAAATTTTTCATGCCATTGCTTAGAAGCTTGTTTTAGTCCATACAAAGACTTATCTAACTTACAGACCTTGTTTTCTTGTCCATAGATCACAAACCATTCTGGTTGTTTCATATAGATTTCTTCTTCTAAGTCACCATTTAAAAAAGCTATTTTAAAATCCATTTGGTGTACTATTAAGTTATAAATAACATCTATTGAAATAAGTACTCTGATGGATGTAATTCTAGTGACAGGAGAAAAGGTGTCGAAGAAATCTATATTTTCTCTTTGTCTAAAACCCTTGGCAACAAGGCGAGCCTTGAATTTATCAATAGTTCCATCAGGCTTTAGTTTCTTTTTCAAAACTCATTTACAACCGATTGGTTTGCAACCAGGAGGCAAGTCTACTAAGTGTCAGGTCTTGTTAAATTCTAGAGATTCTATCTCACCATTTATAGCTTCTTTCCATAAATCAGTATCCAGAGATGATAAGGCTTCTTGAAGATTCATGGGATCTTCTTCTATATTATAAGCCGCATAATCAGACCCATAGTCTTTAGCAACTCTTACTCATTTACTTCATCGAAGTTCTGCTTCTACATTGTTGTTGCTTTCTGTGCTTCTTATCATAAGAATGTGACTCGATTGTGTGCCCCCACTATTTCTCAATTTGAAAGGAAATTTGTCTTCATAGAATTTAACATCATTTGATTCTATGATCACTTTTTCCTTTAGGTCATAAAACCTATATGCTTTATTGTTTGCTTTACCAGTCATTGCAAAATATGGTGCATCTGTTTCATGTACAATTCCATGTATAAAATTCATTAATAAACTAGAATCATACAATATCGCTATCACTACAAATTCTTATTATATCATTTTCAAATTCTTTACAAAAATTTTAAACATATAAACTTCATTCTTCGTAATGGCGTACAAATTTACCCCAATTGACCGACTAAACCCTGTCTTATTTAAAAGAAAACCAGAAACAATATTCTTTCTAATCTTAGGAACATGCATAACGTTCTTTAAGATTAAAGTCTTTTTGAAGGTAAAATTTAGCTCCATGTCTACAGTTTCAGCAACATTCGTGGTCTGACCATCTCCCAACAACACTTTCTTATCTTTAGTATTTGTGTATGTTTTAAACATAACACGGTCATAACAAACACAATGAGAGACGCATGTGTCTATCCACCAACCAACATATCTAACAACCATGTTGATTTCAATGACTATAGCAATAAATTGCCCATTAGTCAGGTTGACCTGTGCATTAGGGACAACACCAAGTTCAAGCTTACTTCTATATTTCTTAGTCACATGACTTGATTTTCCATAGTTAAAACAAAGGGAAACCAACGTCATTTCTTTTAGGTGGTGGTTGTTGCCTAATTGGAGCTATTGGGATCATAGAAGGGTTCTCATTCTTAATTCGGTTCACAATATTGCGGTTATGATTCTTTAATCATTTTTCAAATGGCTTCAGAACTACACCAAATTTCTTTTTGTTATTTGAAACAACCAAGACTTTTTCTTTTTGATATTGTCTCTAAGATTCCCTTTTTTTAACACAAGGAAAATAATCAGATTCTCAATCAAAAATTCTTTTGTTTTGTGGCGAAGCAAAATTTTTTATTTTTAAAACATTCAAACTATGGGGTAGTTTATCAATAATAAAACCAATTTGAAATTGTTCATTTAAACACATACCTTTTGTGATGATCTTTTAAGCAATCTTTTGAAGTTCGTAACATTGAGTCTCCATCGACCTTACATCTTTGCATTTGATACTTGAAGTAGTGGCTAACAACATACTTCTTTGCTTCAGCTTCTACGTCATAATTATTTTTCTGAGTCTCTCAATCTTGTTTTGCAGTATCACATCAACTGTAATGATCACACAGATCATCTGCGAGTCTATTCAAAATATGATTTTGTAGAGATTTTCATTCTCTTTCTATAAGATGATTTCTTTCCTATGCTATAAATCATTCGCTTTAATCTGTGCAGCAGATTCAACTTCAACACTATTAAGTGTTCCTTCTAAATCTCCAAATTTACTACCGTTAGTTTGTTCGATTAATCCAGAAGGAGCAACAGAATGTCATCGATCAGAATGTTAGCAACTTTTTTTAACGTTAAGAACTTCATCTTTTGTTGCCAACGTTTGAAGTGACTTCCCTTAAACATGAACGATTTCTCAAAGACAATATCTGTAAAAGTACCAATAATTTCTTCGGTAGCCATGACAGTTTGAAACGTCTTAAAATTTTTGTTTTCGAATTTTGAAATATTTGCCACCAAAAAAATTACTAGGTTGAGTCGCAGACTAGGTCACTCTCTTTAAGACGTTTCGCGGTACTGCTCAAAATAATGCAAAGCAGTCGAGCTACCGCACCGCCTCCAGGATAAAACAACTCAGTTCTATATTGTACGATTACTACTTGCATGATAGATAATCGGTCTAGAAATACACAATCTGATGGTTCATGATCATTCAAATATGGTATCAATATCACTCGTAGTATTTAGTACAAAGACTAGTCGAAATCATTTTTAAACAAAGAGAAATTCAAATAATTCTCCAAAGAGAATTTAATAATGATCATTTGACCACTCATAATAATTTCTCCGACAAAGAGAAATTCAAATAATTCTCAAAAGAGAATCCAAAAAATTAATACTTGAAAATTTTTCAACTCAAATGAGGAGAAATTAACATAATTCTCTAAATAGAATTCAAGAAAATATTCGAAAAATTCAACAAGTAGGAAGAAAGAGAAAGAAGATGGCGCTTCGACAATTCGAGAGACACAGAGTTATGAGAGTGAGGAAGGAAAAACTAATAGAATAGTTTTTGATGTAATTTAGAATGAAACATGGGCACTCCTTATATAGTGAAATAAGTTAGTTAATATTTCTCACATGAGCAATGTGGAACTAAATGATTTTTTCAATCAAAAAATATTCTAACAATATAGAACTTGAGAAATTTTTAAATTCAAATATATTAAAACATGAACATATTGTAACACTTATTCAAAGATTTTTATCCCTACAAAGCACACCTATATAGCTAGGTTCTTTTAATCATAAAACAAACAAACATATACATATAAATATATAATAATGTAGCATCATGCACTATACTACCATAAGAAATTCTCAAATTGAGATTGATTTTGAGATTCTTCAAGATCATTTGATGGAGTGTGTACATGTCTCCCTTCATATGTGGTTATTACCATCCTTGGATCTTCTCCTAAACGCTCCACACGTTTCTTTACACGACAATTCTCTTGTGTGCAACGGTAATAGCTTCTGCATTTTAATTAATCACACAATTAATTTCCTAATAATACTAGCTAACTCATAAACTCTTAAAATAATTTTTCACTCAAACATCATGATTATATGAAGATCATAATTTGTAGTCATAATCCGTACCATTGCCAACGTTTCAACTTCTCCTTGGAACTAATTTCTTTTGCATATGCATGTAATGAGAGGAATCATTAAATTATTACTTTAAAACCTTTCTGAAACCAGTAAATTATAAAGCTAACTAATTATAATGAAAAAAAAAAAACAAATGATGAAGAAAAGATGGGTGTGAAGAGATTGGAGAGAGAACTATCAGTTGCAAGTTTAGAACACAATGAATACAAAGTTAAAGTTTTTTTTAAAATTTTATTTTAACTTAAATCATACTTACATTGTACTAATTTTTTTATTACTCAAAATTCTTTCAAATTATTAATAATTATTAAAATAAATGGAAAAGAAAGAGCTTTGTTGAATTATTTTTTGTTGATACCTTGGGTGTTGTGTGTTCTTTACAACTTTTTGTCCATACTTCCTCCACTTGTAACCATCATCCAACACATCAACATCAGCACTCAATGTCTTGAAGCAAAACCTAGGCTCTCTCACTTTCTTTCTTCCCTTCATTTTCTTCATCTTCATGCTAGAACAAACCCCCAAATGATAGTTATCATGAGCTACTCCACTTCTCATATCATTATTATTATTGAAGTAATGATCACTTACTCCTCCTAATATTGCCCTACATTAAACAAACATCATATATGAATATGATATAATATTTCTTTAGAAGAATAATAAAATTAATGAAATTTATTTTTCTCACCATGGATTTAGAGGGGATCTATGCAAGGATAGGAATTGAGTAGTACCTGCAGCTACAATGCTAGGAGTGAGGTATTCTTTTGATTTTTGGGGATTGGTTGTTGTGAGTAGGGTTTGTGATGTAGAATCTGATGATATTTCAGATGTAAGTGAAGAAGCTATGGAAGTGAAAGCTTTCAAAGATTGGTTATTGCAACCCAAAGAAGGGAAAGTTAGGTTTGGAAATGGAATGAACCCCATTTGTGTGGAAATATGTTCCTCAAATAAATTGTTAATAATAACTTGAGACATCACTTCTTTTTATTTTTTTCTACCTAATTGTCTCTCTCTATATAATGAAGTTGGTGATCTTTCTCGTGCTAGAGGTTAGGTGCAACTTATATAGAATTTCAAGCCTTTATATATATATATATATATATATATATATATATATATATATATATATATATATATATATATATATATATATATATAAAAGAAAGATGGCGGTTTGCTGCATGTTATAGTGATGGTACTATTTGTCTGAAAAGCATGGAAATTCCATCTCATAAATATGTGACAGTAAAATTCCACTAAGAATAATGTCAACAATACACGACAAAATGCCTCAAGAGGAGTAGTACATATATTGGTGTGTTTTTTTTGTTTTAACTTCAAAATCAAGTTGTATGAAATCTCATGCAATATCTACATTAGTGTAGGTAATAATTATAATTCATGGCCCAAAGTGTAACTGGTTGAGTGCACAATAATAGAAATGGTAATAAATATAAAGATTATTGAGATGATTATACTCATGTATTTATCGGTAAGTATTTAGAAAATTAGTGAAAAATATATTAAAATGAATAGTGTAAAGTGTTGAATTAGTTATATGTGGGTCGCGTAATTTTAAAATAATGAGACTCAACTCTTTTTAAAATAGTGGAACTCATATAAGTTGTCTAAGAAAGCAAGTGTTGAAAATAGTACTAGCCGAGGGTTGTTATAACACTAGTTAAAAGAAATTGAATGATAAAATAATATATTAATATGTTTGGCTTTGTTAGATTCAAGGAGGTGAAGGATGATAGGTTATTGGCTGTGAAGTTGGACAACGTGTTCATCGATGGAAGGAAGATTCACGCCAATTCGTTAATGTTTGTTAGAAACTACGATGATTTTAAACCGGTGAATTTTGGTGACATGAACAGAGGTTCTAGCTTTTTACTTAAGGATTATCAGGTTAGAAGAGGAATCGTCATAAGAAGGTCGACGGTTCGACATCTTTCGCTCAGGTGGTGGACGGTAAAGGGAAGGTAGTGTAACACCCTTCTAAATCTCAAAGAATAATTCACGAATAATTTAATTGATAAATCACAATGCGCCAACATGGGCTTTTCAACAATTATAATAATTTCTTTTCAGAATATCAACCACTACTACGGAAAAGACATTTAACAACAGTTGAGAAAGATATATAATTATGCGGGACCATGCGTTGTTATGTAGTGTGTGATTGTATATGCGGTATTTATAATCACGGTCAAGTGACTGTTGTAGTATTCTACAAAGCGCGCGCCATATCACAATAGTTTTTTAATTCAACCCTTGTGATAGAACTAAAGGTCTCAGGTTCGATTCTCATCATCAATATTTTGTAATTTATATTATTCTGGTCACCGTTCAATATACAATCAAGGTTAGATTTTATAATCGCTGTCAAAACTTGCTATATTTTAAATATGCAATTCTCTACTTCTCAAATTCTTCTCATTTTTTTATCCTGTAACTAATATAACCATGTCACAAAATTTATACAACAACCCATATTTTTGTTAACCATGCAAAAGAGCATAAAAACAACTAACACTATGCATCAAAAGGCAAAATTAATATTTACATCAAATACAATATGTTTAAGTTAAAAGTAATATTCACATTATCATATATAGAAAATAAGTCATTAGCACATCTCAATAAATCAAATAACATGACCCTTAAGCACACCGTGCATATACGCCTAACGTTTATGAATATCTATAAAGTCCTCAACAGGGAATGGAGTTACGTCGTTAAACATCTACATAAGAAAGAGCAAAAAAGTGAATATCATACATGATAATAATTAATTAGTCAACTTATATATATTAATATATATAAACATTTTATGACATACATACATTATCCCATGAATCAACAATTTCGGCAAGGACAATATTTAACATGTGGTTCATGACATAATACCCACACTCGTATTTCTCGGGTTGTCTCCTCGACTACAAATTTAAGCAATAATTACATGAATATAATCACATATGAATTTATATGAAAGAAACAGGTAATCTGGCCATTTACTTTAGAAAAGATCCATGAAGGCTTTCTTCTTACATTGTTCATCATATTCACTTGCTCCACAACATTGTACATTGAAAATGAATTAAATATATTACATGCTAAACTAATTATAATATCGAAGAAAATGAATTACACATACACTTACGAATTAATCACCTCTTTCATTCTTTTCGAGTGGATAATGCAAGAAACACAATACATTAATCATATTCGTCTTAAATGATATTATGATCAATTGCCAATGACCTCTGTCTTTGAGCTGAAGGATGAAGTTCTCTTGCTCAAGTCACAAATTGATAATATGATCAAGTCTGTGAGAATGCTTAACAACCATTTTGGTGTGTTTGATGAGGTTCTTTAGTCTGGGAAGAATGCTGGAAATGTTAAAGGGGTTGGCTATGACTATCAAGCTATGAAGAACAAATGCAAAGAGGTTGAAGTGAAGTGAAGTTTGTCAAAAAAAAAAAAAGAACTGGAACAGAATATGTCAAATAAAATATTCCAACATCAGCATGGACAACAGAGTAATCACTCAGGAAAGAAGACTCAACGATGAAGATATTATTATTGTGGAAGGATTGTCCATATAAAATCCTTCTGCTACAGGTTATATGGTTATCCAAAATATGAAGCACAACCCAGAAGAGAACAAACATTTGTTAGAGCTAAAAGAAAGTGGTTCCCAAGAAAGGGTACCTCTAGACTCATAGCTCACACATATCTCAGAGCTTATGCAAGAGATGATTCGTATTTTGATAGTGGTTGATCTAGACACATGATAGGTGTCCAGAAATTCCTGGTGGATATTAAATCTCACTCCACTAGCTATGTCACTTTTGGAGATGGATCAAAGGGTGAAATGAAAGGTGTTGGAAAGTTGGACTATATAGGACAACCTAGTCTTGATGATGTGCTATATGTAAAGGGCCTAACTGCTAATTTAATAAGTATTACTCAACTATGCAACCAAGGTCTCAAAGTTGAATCTGAATACTTGGTTACAAATGAGAAGAATGATGTTGTCATGAAAGAAGCTAGATCTAAAGATAATTTCTATCTGTGGAGTTCTCAAGAAATAAACTGTTTCTCTACATGCTTAATGACACAAGAAGATGCAGCTAAGACGTGGCATCAAAAGCTTGCTCACTTGCATCTGAAAGGTATGAAGAAAAATTTGTCAAAAGAAGCAGTCATAGGTATTCCAAAGCTAAAATTGGAGGAAGGAAAAATCTGTGGTGAATGTGAAATAAGGAAGCAAACAAAGATGTCACATTCAATGTTGAATCATCAAATTACTTCCAAAAGATTAGAAACTCTTTATATGGCGCTAATGGAACCTAAGTTGGTTGACAATGTTGGTAGAAATAAATATGTCAGTGTATTTGCTGATGATTTTTCAAAATCTGTCTGGATTAACTATCAAAGAAAAACCAAATGGCATTGGAGTTCTTAAGGATTTATAGCAATTACTGATGGGGAGGAATGAAAAAGATTCTCTATCTTTCTTCCGTATTGTGGTGATTACAACTATCAAAGGATGGAACAAAAGATCTCTGCAAAGAGCTGATTTGACAAATATTCTTTCTGAGGTGATGACAAGGAAGGCTAGTATAATTACTCCTAAAACTTGTGACAGACTCAAAGATTGCAGAAGGCTATTTGATAGAGGCAAGAGGTGGAGGATCACCCAAATATGATAAAGGTTTTTTTTGTTCTGAATATTATAGTGAGCTTTTGCTGCTACTGCTGATGGTGGTATCTGTGTGTATGATGTCCTATCAAATGTAATGACATCTTTCCTAACGTGTGAACATGGGTAGTTTATACTGGTTTGATACGTTGGATTTTCTTGTGTCGCCATTTTTTTAAGAAGATTTCAGGGAAGTGATCATGGTCTGAAAGTTGATTCCTCTAAGAGAGAATGGATGATCATCATTGTGAAGAAGACAACTTTCATATGTGGTTCATCATGGAGTGTTCTGATCGTCCATGTGTTTGATTATCAGGATGATTCTCCAAGAAGGAACATAGTAGGATAAGGACAGATGGACTTCATGTGTGTTGGGTGGTTTAACTAGAGTTCTCAAAAGTATATCCAAAGATGTGATCATTGAGGAAGGTCCTAATGTCCAAACCAATGTTGGGACATCGTCTCAGGACTTTAAAACTCCAGGAGTTAGGACGATCTTTATCTGAAAACTCTCCAGAGAGAGTTCTTTATTTTGGCATCTATATCACCACCTGGTTAAGAGTTTATTTCTGGAAAAGTGTTAGAGTAACTCCTTTTAACAAGTCTAATAGAGTTAATGTCTATGAATTATCCTTCTTTGTGGCTCTTTGTTCAGATGTGATTGTCTGTATATTATGGTTAAAGTTGAGGGTAGTCTGAACTCTCAATGATTTTTGGAGATTTTAAAGATTGCAATGTTTAACCGGGTCTCATGACATTGTATTTTAGAGAGCTCGGTCCAAAGGTTCCAAGAATGAGGTGTGTTGATCATGTTGTGTGAAGCAAGTGATATTGAAGGCATCTTTAGAATTCCATTCCTAAAATAAGTGTAGACTCTAGTGGATGGTATTCCTACATCTAGTGTCACATGAAAAACGTTTTTCAATGGTTTGGAAAAGTTGTTATACCCCAAAATTTACCCTCTTCATGTTGGCTTGTGTTTTATTATCATATACATACATGCATATCATTATACCTGTTATCGTGGGATCAAGGCATTTCTATAAGGCATCGACTGCTTATTAGAGGCGTTCAAAGCTTTATACAGGTAATCTATCCAGTGAATGAATTCTTTCTTACCATGCCTAATTCCCGTGTATTCTATAATGTCTTGAGTGGTAGAGGGAAGTAAGAGGTTTCGTTTGATTCGGGACAGTTCAAGCTGAAAGTCTGCTTCGGCGCGATAAATTTCAGAATTTTATAACTCCATGCTAGGATATCATTG